AAATTTGATCATTTTGTCATACTCAAAAGTATAATAATTTTAAAGCTAACACCTATATTTATCCTCATGAATCTTATTTCTGAATTTCAAGGATGGAAGATTACCTTATGTGGAGAATTTTCCTTGTTCATTCTTTTTCTCCAACTTCTATTCCATTTCTTTTTGTTTCTTCCTAGTCTTCTCAGTCACCAAAGTTGACTCATGTTTCTTTTTCTTCTTCTGAATTTAAGAGGGTGGACTTGCTTCCATAGGCCATTTACCCTTCTTCTTTTTGAAGATATCTTCAGGTAAATAGGATTTAGCAATTGGTTTTGTTTGGTTCAGTTTTAGGGTTTTAAAAGTTTAAGAAGGGGAGGTTTCAGTTTTAGAAGATCGATTTCAAATGAGAGAGAATGAGTTCAAAGAGGTTAATTTTCTTTAAAACAGTTAGACTCCCTCTTTTTTAAATGTGGTCAATTTCTCTCTCTTTCAAAATTCAAAAATTTGCCTCCCAAGTTTTTTAGTTAAGCAATTTTTCATTTTCTTCTTCACCTAATAAACGGCCTCCATTTTCTTTAAATTTTATTTTTTTGTTTTAGTTTCTTAATTGACCAAGTTTCACCCTTGTTTGACTAGGTCTTTTATTAAAGGAAATAGAATGCTTTTAGTTGGTTAAGTGATGCTCTTAATCAACTAAGTCTACACTATCTTATGAGAGAAATGCTCAGAAATTTACTTAAAGCTCTTGAATACTTGCCATTCTTAGATTTCTCCTAATTTCACAAAATCTTTGCTCATTTAAGGGTTTGACAAACTCAATCTTAATGTCTGCCTTAAGCACATGGTCTCTAATAAAATGATGTCTAATCTCAATGTGCTTAGTTCTTGAGTGTTGAACTGGATTTTTTGAGATATTTATTGCACTTGTGTTATCACAAATATTGGTACATTATGCATGGTCATGCCAAAATCTTTTAATTATTATTTAATCCATAAAATTTGAGCATAGCAACTACATAAGGAAATATATTCAACTTCAACTATGGAGAGTGCAACGGGGTTTTGTTTCTTACTAGACCAGGACACAAGCATATCTCCTAGAAACTGATATGTACCATTAGCTTTCTTTCTATCTATTTTGCTTCCAACAAAATTTGTATCTGAATATCTAATGAGATTGAAGGATGTTCCTCTAGGATACCATAATGTTAAATTTTGTGCATCTAAAAAGTACCTAAAGATTCTTTTTACATCAATTAAGTATGACTTTTTAGGTTGACATTGAAACCATGCACACAGGCATGCACTAAATTGAATATTAGGTCTGCTAGTAGTTAAATAAAGCAAAGATCTAATCATACCCCATGTAGAGCTTTTGATCAACACTTTTTCCTCTTTCATCAGTATCAAGTTTGGTAGAAGGACTCATTGGTGTGTTGATTGATTTTAGCTTTAGTATATCAAACTTTTTCAGCATGTCTTGAATATATCTTTCTTGATTGATAAAGATGCCATCTTTGCATTGTTTGATTTAAAGGTCAAGAAAGAATTTTAGTTCACCCATAATGCTCATCTCAAAGTCACCCTGCATTTCTTCAACAAAGTTCTTACCAAAAGCCTCATTAGTAGCGCCAAATACAATATCATCGACATAAATTTGAATTATAATTAAATCATTCAAGAATTTCATAATAAACAATGCTGTATCAATACTTCTTCTAATATACCCTTTTCAACTCAAAACTTTGAGAATTTCTCATAACAAGCTCTTAAACCTTGTTTTAGTCCATATAAAGCCTTATGTAGTTTGAAAACATAATCAGGTTTTTCCAAAGTCCTCAAATCCAGGGGTTGTTTGACATAGACTTCTTCTTGAATAAGTCCATTTAAAAATGCAGTTTTTACATCCATTTGAAATAATTTGAAGTTTATGAAATATGCAAATGCAAGAAATAATCTTGTGGCTTCTATCCTAGCAATAGGAGCAAATGTTTCATCATAGTTAATGCCTTCTTCTTGGTTATATCCTTGAGCCACTAGCCTACCTTTGTTTCCAATAACATTACCTTGCTCATCCACTTTATTTCTGAACTCCCACTTTGTGCCAACAATTGGATGATTTAATGGCCTAGAAACTAGTGTCCATACTCGATTTTTTTCAAATTGTTGTTCTTCTTGCATGGTCAATGTCCAGCTTTCTTCTTTTTCTACCTCTTCAAAGCTCTTAGGCTCGATTTGTGAGATGAAAGCTGAGAATTCACATGTTTCTCTAATTCCTCTTATGGTTTTGACTCTTTGTGAAATATCACCAATGATCTACTCTTGTGGATGATCTTTGATATACTTTCATTCTTTAAAAGACCAATGAGTTGACTTTCAGTTCTTTGCAAAGTTTTTAAGGGTGGAGGTTCTATTTTTCTTCCAAAGGACTTTTTTTCACTATTTTTCTTATTTTCTAGGCTTAGTTCTTCCATTTGTCTTTCAAAGTCCTCTTCATCATTTTCATCAACAAAAGCTTCCTTTTGCAAGGCATTAGATTTATCAAAAACTACATGGATAGATTCTTCAATTGTTAAAGTTTTTTTGTTAAAAACTCTATAAGCTTTTAAGTTCAACGCATATCCTAGAAATATTGGCTCATCACTCTTAGCTTCAAACTTTCCAAGAGAATGTTTTCCATTGCTAAATACAACGCATTTGCAGCCAAAACTTCTAAAGTAGGAAATATTTGGTTTTCTACCTTCGTACAGTTCATATAGGGTTTTTGATATCATGGCCCTTATTGATACTTTATTAAGAATGTAGGCTGTTGTGTTGACAGCTTCTGCCCAAAAGTACTTTGGTAGATTGCTTTCACAAAGCATAGTCCAAGCCATTTCTTTTAAGGTTTGATTTTTTCTTTCTACAACTCCAGTTTTGTTGAGGTGTTTTAGGTGCAGCGAAATTATGATCCAACCCTTTTTCATTACAAAAACTTTCAAAATCATCTCTATCAAACTCACCTCAATGATCACTTCTAATACTAACTATGACAAGTCCTTTTTCATTTTGAACCCTCTTACAATGATTTACAAATACAAGTAGAGAATCATTTTTATGAGCAAGGAAGTAGACCTAAGTATACCTATAGTAGTCATCAACTATCACAAAGCCATATGATTCGCTTCCTAAGCTAGTTGTGTTGATTGGACCAAATAAATCAATATGCAGCAATTCAAGAAGTCTAAAGGTTGAAATAATCTTTTTGGTGTTGTAACTTGTTTACCTAGTTGACAAGCATCACAAATCTGATTATTCTAAAATTTAAGTTCCAGCAATCCTATAACCATGTTTTTTCTCATCAATTTTAAGATGGTATGCATGCTCACATGTCCAAGTCTCCTATTCCATAACCAATTATCATTTCCATCATTTACCATAAGACATGTTTCACAATTAAGCTCAAGATCTTCAAGAAATATAGCATACATATTCTTGATTCTTTTCCTACGAATGAAATTTTGTTGGTACTAATGTCTATCACTTCACATTTGTATAAATCAAAACATACCTTAAAAGCCTTTGTCACACAATTGACTAATACTTAATAAATTGTGTTTCAAGACACTTAGGGATCGACCTTGGGCCCTCGATTTGAGAAAAATAAGGCATTTTCTTTGGAGTTTAGCTTGAGATATTCATCGACCACTTTTATGCACTATTCTGCATGCCATGTACTTGATTATAAATTGTGAAATCAATGCACAAACTGTTTTTGCATTGCATCAGGGTTTTTTTTTTTAAGTTAAATTACTATTTCTAAGCTCCTTTTCAGCAACTGTTCAGCTTTATTGGTTGTTTCTCTTTTTCACTCACTCACTGAATCTACGTAACTTATCCCAATGAATTGATGTGCAGATAAGTACCTTCCTGAAGCCTCCATCAAAGAGTGAGAGGCTAATTTGCTTGGTAGTTGACTAATGCATCTCATAGACACTCGGTTTTCCACGTCAAACTCTGCTGGTCCAAGTTTTGCGTAAATGCGGCTGTTTAAAGCCAGATATGTAGGGTCAAGGTCCACGGTTGTAGCCAATGCATGACATATGAAACTGGTTTACGTAAATATGGTTAGAGTTTATCCTAAAGCACATGTAGCATTGGTTTATGTTTATTTGCCCCGGGTTTAGGTTGGTTAATGATGAACATGTGTGAACCAAAATCATACTTCATATATAATTATTTTCAAGTTATGTTCCAATGATTTAATTTAATTATAGCTAATGGAAAATGAATTTACATTCTTGCTGGGCTTTATGGGCTTGCCTATAGGGTCTATGCGCCCTAACAGCCTGGGGGTTTGGATCATTACAGTGCTAAGTAAACATCCACGTGATATGAATATATAATGAGCTTCAATAGTTTTGTTTCAATGAGGGCTCAAATTACTAAAAATATTACATTAATGGCTCAATTAGTTATAATAATATATAAAATGATAAAGACTTTCAAAAAATTTGGTATGTATAGCATTTTCCTAAGTAATTTAACCTATAACAGTGATAATAAGGTTTAAATACAAAAAAATATATAAATTAATTAAACTATCATCAAATTTCTTGTCTGTTGATTACAATCAATTAAAGCCTCCAACAGGTACTTTTTATTTATTTAAATTATTTCGCAAACAAAAATGATCACATTCAACCTGGAATATAAACGATCATGAGATGAACAAGCCAACAAAAAATGTCAAAACGATGGATCCACCATGGATGAGAAAACTCACAATGTTTTGTGAAACATGTATCACTTAATATGATAAATATTTAGGAATTTAATTGATTGCAATTAAAAGTAAAAATTAAACTCCATAATAATAATAATAATTGTTTGTTAGTCAAAGTCGTTAAGAAGCAGTGGTTGTAAAAACTTGATTACGCAATTGCATGAGAATGAAAACCGTTAGTATATTGCAGTACCTTAGTGTATTGCCTTTATATCATATATAAATATTAATATATGTGGAAAATCACATTGTGCGCCCTTCCTCCTTAAACTATATATTATCAAAGCCACCGAAGTCGAACCTCTCCAAAGAATTTGGAGCTCTAGCGCTCTCCATGTCCACGTCAAACTTCTCCTTGGAAGCAATGAAATCCCCAGCCCGGCTGTCATCTCTGATGGTCGACACTTCTGAAAAGTCGTCGTCATCAGCAGTCCATGCCCGAAAATTGATCATTGCAGGTGGGATCTTGGACAGGAACACTTCTTTCAAGTTGCTTAATATGCCCTTGTTAAAGGGATTTTCCTTCTCATCGTATCGGTACCGGAAATTCTCGTAGGTTGTCTGAAATTCATGATGCAAAAAGCACAAGGAAATCAAGAGAATCCCCAAAAACATATATTGAAAGATAGAACATGGTGAAGCGATCGGAGAGGCGACAAAACTTGTACAAGTAATCACCTGGTTGGTGAAAATGAGGTAGAAATGGAAAACTGTTAGGCCACCAACAAACCAGACCGCTATGAAGCAGTAGACGATGAGAATGACCGATAGTATATCACGAGACATGGCAGTCCACAAGCCGCAGTGTTGTCCAAGAATGTTCACCCAAGAGCACACGAACACATATATGCACAAGGCAGTCGATGATGATATAAAGCAAAGGAAGAATGGGTAGTTGCGCTGCAACCATTAAAGCCTCAATATTTGGTTTCGACTTAAATTCAATAAGAACAGCATCACCTGTAGTTAGCTAGGTAGAAAAGCAAGCAAGGCTCTTATAGATAAACAGCTGATGAGAAAATTAAAGTAACTTACTGCTCCGATGCACTGACCCACCCATGGACAGTGGTGGTCGAACCTCTGGACGCAGTTGTTGCAGATGGAGCAATGAGAAGCACGCGGCGGACGATAGAGCAAGCATGTCTCGCAGAACTTGACTTTAACCGTTTGACCGTTCACCATCACATTCTTAATCCTTGGTATCTTGAGGTTTGGAGTTTGACTACGGACCCACTCCATGGATGCACTCTTTGTCATGTAATTAATCGATTCCTCCGACGATTCAGGCGGCGGCGATTTCAAATTTCTAGGTATTATTCCCGGATCTCTACTGCATGTCAGGAGTAGAAACCCGAAATCCTGCAGGCACAAACATCAATTACATACAGCGGTGAGCCGTGGGAGAGCTCTTGCTTTATTTGCTAAAACAAATTACCAACCAAAACAGTGAGGATGAGTCCCCCCAAAAATGCATGATAGTTGAAAACCGGATCGTCTTGATTGATGATCACCGCCACCTTTAAGCAGAATGCTATTGCAGGGCATCCGATTAGAAATGATGTTAAAAATAGTGATGATGCATCGGGGCCAAAGATCATTCTCCCACCACAACAAAATTTCTGACATTTAAAAACTGTGCATGCATTAGTTCGTAAGCAAAGCCAGATCTTGGTATAGCCTGTACATACTCGTACCCAACAAAAATTAACTACTTGTTTTAACTTCATTTTCGACCGGAGAAAGCTATAAAGAATACAGAAATTGATAATGGAACAGTAATCTGATTACTCATTGTTTAATGCTTACTTTATAAACAGATTGAGAAAATTGAGATAGATGTCAGTAATCAAAGAATTATTCAACTAGTATTTGGACCCAAATACCATGTTGGATAGCATTCAAAGCAGGCAATGATACGAGTAATAATTTGCCATAATATATATAAGCTAAAACCCTCATGCATATACTCAATAAGACCCCAGAATCATCCCATAACAACTAGAGGTTCCACAGGTTTCTGTACAACAAAACTAGCAAATCAAAATATATCTGCACATCTATAGGAATTCACATTCAGCTATGCCGCCCATTAACCAAGTATGATAGTACTTTGGGGTTGAATTGACAACATATACATGACAAGGGGCATTGTTAAAACTTCATTTGCCAAAATGAACTGTGAATTCGTATTCATGAGATGCAATAAGAAGAATAGAATCTCAAGCATGAAATTTAAGCACCAATTTAGAAAAAGCATCAAACGTTGTAAAAGGAGGAGAAAAAAATAATACATTGTTTCCCTTCCAAACTTGATAAATCCTCTTGGGAATGGGTTTGGGAGGGCACCTTTCCATGTCAACGGAGGAAGAGTCATAAACTTGGCTTTTGTTCCTATTCATGGTTCTCTTCTTACGGTCTTTCATTTGTGCGCATGATTCAAGCTATCTCAGTCTAGAAAAAAACACCCCCAGAGAAAAAATCAGGAAGCCTATACTCCCAAACAGAATCAATGAAAGCTAGATAAAAAAAAAAATAAACCCCACACAAAATTGAAAAGGGTCAAAAGGCTTTCATTGTTTTCGTTGGTATAACGTAAGATAGCGAATGACAAAGATATCAAACGCTTTGAGGGTGTTTGTTTCTTCTTCTCTCACATCATCTCTCCCTCTCTAACTTCCCCTATGTTGGGTTACCAGATCGATCCTTACAACTCTCCCTTAACAAACTTTCGATGTGTCGTTAATATTTTAATTTCGAGCGAGCTTTTCGCGTGCTGCCAAAACTGATTTCTTGTTATGTTTGAGTAAGGACAAAAGGTAATTGTGTTTGACATTATCGATGACGAAGCTAGCATTAATTAAAAGTGAGGCGCCAATATCCATTGAGTTAAAGTGTTTCTTTCGCAAGAATTAAGTTAAAGAAAAATCAATAAATATTAATATTTTTATATACTGAATTATTTAAATCTTTTAAAATCAACAAATTATTTTGAAATTTTTATTTTTACAATAGTTCTCGTATTGTTGTATCTAATGCTATTAGAATTTTAGGATGAAACCCAAGATGATCATCCTATTTGGATAAAACTATTAAAAAGAATGCTTTACACTTTTATCTTAATCAATTGGAGTTATCAAAATTACTAATATTAAGGTAAAATAACCCCACTTCTTAAGTTTTAATCGAAATTTCAAACGGGTCCATTAGCTTCGAAATAGACACTCTACCCTAAAAATGCAAACACCGTTAACAAAGGATTGTGAAAAGATTAAAATGCCATTTCTTTCTTTATTAATTTTTAAAATTACTATTATATTTTATAAAAAATTTTAAAAAAAAGAGAACCGATCCTCCCCAAAGAAAGGAGAAAACCGACCATGCTCCCAAGGGAGGGGGGCACTGAGGAAAGGGAGCACCAGATCTGTGCTCCTAAAGGATCTCGATCGTGGCTCTTTAGGGGAGCTTTGGTACTCCCCCATATGGGGAGGTTTTTTATTTTCTTAACTAATAAAAAAATTAATAAAAAAGTTATAAAATTATATAATAGAAATTTTAAAAATTAATCAAGGGTAAAATTATCCCTTGACCCTTGTCACCTCATCAGATTGATGAAAATACTAATAGTTAACTAACGGCTAGACCTAAGCGTTCAAGAAAAAATACTTTTTTGGGACGGAATGTCCATTTTGAAATTTAATGGACCTGCGTGAAATTTTAATCAAAACTTAAGGGGTAACGGTACTTTATCCTAAATATTAACATCATTTGATAAAATGTTATGAGCATTATTTTGATAAAAATTATCAGTTGTTTTTTCAAGGGTTACAAATAGGTTTAGGTGTTCCAAAAAATATAAGATGTCACATCTTAAATTCGAGGACATGACTAGTGCGAGAACCTATGTAGGTGTGGCCCATAGGACTCAAACAAGCCTTTAACTCATCATATAATCACATACTATTTCATATTAAAGCACATTTAACCAAGTTCAACATCATTCATCATGGAAAACATCATCATATTGTAAGATAAAACATTCCATTAGCCTTTCACAAACATATCGCATACAATGTAATGCATATTTTCATATAAATGTCATATGCATAATTTGGTGCTCTTAGTTTGTACACCTTGGTGCTTATATCTTCAATGGCCCCATTACCATAAGCTTAGCATATCCTGTCCACCCTCTTTGATGCTAAAGTACACATCCCATACATTAGTAACATAAACATAAGGAGTCTCATTTATTTACATAAGCACATCATCATCGTAAAATGAGAAATAAGCATAAGACTCTTTGACACACTGTAGAGTGTAACAACATTAGAAGGCTTGAAGGAAGGGCATTATCACACGTACCAAATACAAGTTGTCCTACTCGACCACAAGGTGGCAAGCTAAGAGAGCTACTAATCTGAAACAAAAACAATAATCTTCTAGTGTGAGTTATAGAACTCAATGACCAACTGCGAGAAGGGGACAAGCCAAAAAGGTAGAGCTTTTGTAATAATACAACCCAAATCTAGCGTCCATGAGCAACGTAAAGGCCTAATAAGGATATCCCACTTGACCTAAGCAAGCCTTAAATAAAACATATCCGATGTTCAAAAACCTCATGGTGTTAACTTTAAAATTATTAGGATTTTGATTATGACAAAATGAGCAAATTTGCTTGAACATTATTTGAGTGATACTTGACAAGTTCTTGAAATGATTTAACTCTAATACATTATTCTTACATAGTTACAAGCTTGACTCTTGAAGTTATTGAACTATATCTATAAGCTTGTATGACTTAGTTGTACGAGTGCATATGATTCTCATTCATTAATGTTTGATTTAAAGATTAAAGAAAAATCTAGATGCACTCATTAAAAGGGAGTTTGAATAACTTTTTTAATAATGACAAAACAAGTGAGAAGGGAGACTAAATTAAATAAAGTTTGATAGGTCTTCATGTTTAATTTATGTGTGTAATACTTAGTTATGGTTTGGTTGAATATTATGTGCTAGTTATAATGGATATTCAATATATCTTGCTTAGCTAATGTGGATATTGTATATCTTATTTAGCTATTATGGATATTATAAATATTTTATTGCAAATCTTTAAAGAAAACTAGATGCATTAACTAAGGGGAAACAACTCATTATGCATAAAGATTTGAAGCATTCATATTGAACATAGACTCTTCATCTAAGAGTGTTTTGTCATCACCAAAAATAAGAGAGAAAGAATGTTGACTCTTTGTTTTTTATGATAGCAAAACATTCCCATTCATTGGTGTCTAATTAGATTATTTAACTATGCAAGAGAAAACCTAAATTCATTAATATATATGGTATTTGAAAGCAAGTCAAGATGCTTGTTCAGTTGCAAGATGGGATAATTGGTTAAACAAGCAAAAAAAAAAAAGAGCTTTAATGAAGACAAATTAGTCTTAACCAATTAACACAAATCCTTAATGAATTAAAGTAATTCTGGGTGTTACACCAAGGACAAACAGAAAGGTCTTAACTAGTTAACACAAGGTTTAATCAGTTAAGTAGGTGCTAGACACAAAATAAAAGCCTTTTAATCAGTTAAAGGAAATAAGTTAACTAGTTAAAGGTCAAAGTTAAAGTGTCAAGAAGTGCCAAAATTCAAAATCAAAATTTTGATTATTGTCCAAGCAACAAACCAAGAGATTTATAGTTGAAGACTTCTCAATTGGTTGGAGCCCCATTTTTACCATTTAAGGATGAATGGAGAGAAGCTTCAATCAATTAAAGGGAGCATTAATCAATTGAAAAGAGGCTAGCCAAAAACAATGCTTGAAGGTGCTTGAAAATAGGAAGTTATTAATTAGTTAAAGTTGTCGTTAATTGGTTAACATAGAAAAACAATGTGCAAGTCAAAGAAGGCTTAATCGGTTAAAGCCTACCTTTAACTAGTTAATGAAGCAGTATTTACACATTTGAATTTAAGCACAAAAGGATAAAATAAAGGCTAGTTTCTATCTCTAATGGCCAAAAGTGATTTTCAAATATTTAAAGCCTCTCCAACAATAAAAAATCATAGAGAAAAGCTATCCAAAAGGATTTTGAGCATAGAAGATCAAAAACCTTCTCTTTACACTGTATTTCACTCCCATCTTTTCAAAAACTATTTAAGATTAACTTTGTACATCTTAGATCAATTAAGTGATCAATTGTACTTCATCTTTTTTCAATTTCTTATTTACTGAGAGTATGAGAAACACTCTAAAGGGTAGATCAAGCTTAAGTCAGGTTGGTTGTTTTTGTAAGTTCTAACTTAGCTTTAGAAAAGTTAGTTTTATGTTTTGGTTGATCCTAGGAAAACTATTGTTAAAGGTTGTGGCTGAGCCTGTGAAAAGCTATTGTAAAAGCTTAGTGGAAGCTTGTGAATTCTACTGATTTTAATGAATTGGTTTGAAAATCCTTGATTAGAAAATCAAAGTAGTGGATGTATGTCAGATGACCAAACCACTATAAATCATTGTGGTTTGTCTGCTTTCTTTCATTTTCTTCTTACTCTTAACACTTAAATCATTCCTCCAATAAGCTTTAAACTTTTATTTTCAAATTCCTTTAATTAGCTCTTTACTTGGAAAGAATTTTCCTGTTATTTGGAAAGTGCTATTCACCCCCCTTTAGCACATTCTTTGAGACCAACATATGGGGCGCATCACCATGGAGTTATATATATATATATATATATATATATACACACACATATATATAAACATGCATTAAATTTCAAAACAATTAATTTACATGATCCCATGCTCAAACTGCGAAAGCAAAACATTTCTTAAATACCAAAGTAGAAGCCACCTTGTGGCAAATCCAAAGTTTAACATTTATTACAACATGTCAACATAGTTCCAAACCCATAATAGACTAATCGTCATGACCCATTTTTGGATGTTCATAGTTGAGACATGGACCTACATGGGTATGGACCACTAGGCCTAAGCAAGCCTTTCAATCAACATGTGTGGGCTCGTCATACACCACATTCACGCAACATACATTCAACATAATAAAATTTGAAATTATATTGTTAGCCTTGAGTTACATCATGTTTTTGATTTAGCAAAAATTGCATGATATCTTGAGTTTAATGTCAAGCATTTGAAATTGTCTCAATCCATATTTTTCATCCCTTAAAGTCACAAAATTATTTAAAATGCCATGCATCATAAGAAAATATCACAAAAGCTTTCTACTACCAATCCTAAATCTTGGACAATAGATTCAGAATGTGGATTGCATTTATGTATTAACATAAAGGCTTTAAGGGATAGTAGAAATCTTTATAAAAATTAGGTAGTCTTAAGAGTGGGTAATGGTGCAAAAATTGTAGTAGTTTTCATTGGGACTTGTGATCTCATTTTATTATCTGCTAAAAGAATGCTACAATGTACCAACATTAATTAAAAACATCATTTCGATTTTATACCTAGCTAAGAATGATGATTTGAAATTTAATATGAAAGGCAATCATTGCATTGTCATTCTAAATGATATCTTTTATCGATCCATAATATGTTATGGATCTTGATAGCCCAATGCTCAATATAGATGTCAAGAAAGCTAGA